GCCCTTCATTCCCTTAGCACACACTCCAGCCCCTCCAATACCCCTCACTCCCAAACCGCAGTACCCTGCCCCCCTGGGCCATGATGGTACCCCTCACTCCTGATCTGCCCCCCTATCCCTGCTGGTGCCCCTCACTCCTGACCCACAGCCCCCTGGTGCTGCCAGTGCCCCCCGCACTCCAAAACCACAGCCCCCTGCCCCCACCAGCCCTGCCAGAGGGGCTCCAGCTGTCCCTGTCCTGACCAGGCCAGATCCGGCACAGTGTCTCTGATTCATGCAGGAATCAGCAGAGTGTGTCAGGCTCCAGCGAGGGCTGGAGAAAAGAGGATAGCTTGTGGCACCTCCATCCCTGGGATGGGGCTGCCACACTGGGCCAGGCAGCCTGGCCACGGCCCCCTTCTTCCCTTCTTCCTCCCCTCCCCTGGGCAGCATCTCTTGGCCACTCATCCCCTGTGAGCACAAAGCACAGGCACCAGCCCCTGTGCTGCCTGCTGGCTGCAGAGTTTCCTGCTGCCCTCAGAGGGCCCTCTCCCCCTGCCCTATCGTAGCCCCATGCCCCGCTGCCCTGACCAAATGTATGGGATTTAGCTTGGGTGCAGGGGGAGGGCGGTTGGAGGCAACAGGGAGCACCACATGGGTCTGCAAGCACCTCTGCAGATGCAGGCATGTATGACTGCTCCCTGCTGCCTCCAGTCACCCTCCTGCTTCTCCCACCAGAGGAGGAAAGTAAAATCCCAGACATTCAAGCAGTTTTTAAAAACCCGCTCTGATGGAGATTAGAGGGCTCCAAAAGAGGCACAGCCAGGAGGCTGTGGGTGGGAAGTGGGGGGCACCAGCAGGGCTGGGGAGCTGTGGGTCAGAGGTGAGGGGCTACTGGCAGGGCCAGGAGGCTGTGGGTCGGGAGTGAGGGGCACTGATAGAGCCAGGGGGAACTGTAGCTAGGGAGAGAGGGCACTGGCAGATCAGGGCTGCTCAACTCCACAAAGCAGCAGAGGGGACAGCTGCAGCTGGACCCATGTCTTGGTGAGCAAAGGGGGCAGGGGGAGCTCTGATTTTCTATGATAAAAACATGAAAATCAAATGCCAAAATGTATAGGTATTTAGAATTTATTTTATTAAAATGATTAAGGTACTGATAGGATTGCAAATTGCTTTACAAATTGTAAATATATCAGTAAAACATTGTGTACAACTGATACCAGTAAATATAGTGGCATTTCATTTCAATCACAGAAAAACAGATTTTGGGGGGTTTCATCAGAGAATTTGGGATTTTTAGCGGACAGTTTGCAATTTTTAAACAGAAAAAACCAGGATCCCTGTTTATTACAGTACATTTCTTTACATGTATATGTTAAACTGACCTTGTGGAACAGAGGTCAGCAAGGTTTTGAGACCAGTCCAGCCCACCACTGCCACTTCTCCCCTTGTCCAGCCATGGTGTGGTGCAGTGCATGCAAAGTCTTTTCCCATCCCCCCGGCTTGGCCACAACACTTGCAGGCCACTCCGTGTCTCCCCGCCTGAGCTGTGACATGCACAGAAGCCCTCACCTGACAGCAGGACAAGGGAAGATCCCAGATCCATGTAATTATTACATTTGGAAAAAGTAACTTATGAAATATTGGAAATTTTTTCCTGTTTCTTCCAGTTTGTCTGATCACAGACCTGTTATAGAGCTTCCCCACTGTGAAAACTCAGAAATCATCATTAGACTGTATGAGATGCCATATTTTCCTATGGGATTCTGGTCAAGGTTGATCAACAGGTTGCTCGAAGTATCTCCTTACATGCTGTCAGGAAGAGGTACTGATATTTAATTTCAGAAGTAACAGTGTGTGAATTTACTTTGATCACCTTGTTTTACCTGTCTGAATTCCAGTCCTTTCCAGCCCTGCAGTTTTGCCTTTGGTTTATTGCTGTCCATTTTAGGAATATGAGAAAAGAATGGGTATTTACAGATCTTAGGGATACCCTATGGCTCTGCTTAGGTTGACTCTGCAAGTGGAGCAATATTACCCACTTGCTTTCTTGTACCTCCCCTTCTGTAGGCAAGATATAGAAGGAATACTTGCATTTAGGCAATACTCATGTTAGCTTCTGCAAAACTATCAGGAAAGAGTAAGGAGGAAGCAGGGCCACAGTCTTCTCATACTCCACATTAGCCAGCAGACCTGAATGAGTACCAAAAAAGAAAGGACATTGCATTGAGTAATGCAGTTGCTGCTCTTTGCCATGACTCCAGATCTCCAGGAAATATTGTTTCTATTGTGACATGTCACCTGGATTTCCTGCTAAGACCATATGCTTCCACATAACTCTCAACGTAGGCTTATGGCTTTATGACAGAATTCAGGCCTTAATGGGAAGAGAACTGGATAGGTAACATATCCTCTGAGCCTCATTTTGGAGAATGTCTATACTATAACACCCATTTCCTTTTAGGAGTTCCCCCACTGGGCTGCAGGTTGGCAGGCAGCCAGCTCCTTTCTCCCTTCCCCCCCTTAAAAAATTTGGAGACTTTTACCAGAGGTGTTTTTCATTTTTTTCATTCTCTTCCCTGGTCTGGAGCAGCCCCCATTTTTAATAATGCTAATTCACTTCACTTTAAAACGTTTATTTTTAAAAATGTGATTTGAAGAACATTTAGATACAGCTAGATAAAGACTACCTTAGCATTAGCCTCTTTGCTAACATTCTTCAAATGGGATTTAAACCTCTCTGCTGTTTTAACCCTTGGTCTCTGTCATGTGAGCACAGGCTTTCAGTTGCATCAAAGGAAATGCTGATTATGTAATGTAGACAAACCTAGTCATGAACAAATTAAGGATGCCAGGCTTGCTTTATTTATTGTTTAAGACATTTTAGATTGAACTATTGTGAGCTTAATCGATATATCCCTCCACAAGCTGCTGTGGTTGCTAAGTATCCTGATTTTATACTGAACCTATGGATCTGTACTTAAAGACTCGTGCATTGTTTGCGTTCATCACCTACTACATGACAAAGGAGTTGATTCTATATTTAGTATTATTTAATAGGCCTTACTGGAGTGATAAAAGACGTTAAAAGTGGGAGGGGAACGCTACCCCAGGAAATAATGTAGTCGTTACTTCTGCTTATGTTGTATAAACATGAATAGCTATGTACATTCATAGGTAGATGCTTAGAATAACATATTTTGCAGTAATTAGCACAATTTTACACCATTCATATTAGAAGTCTGATTTTGACTCTTAAGTTTGTTTTTCCTAGAACGAGCTCTTCGTCCTAATAGAATGTATTGGAGACAAGGCATCTATCTGAATTGGTCTCCTGAAGCTTACTGTCTGGTGGAATCAGCAGTGTTTGACAACAATCCAGCCAGCTTTTTGAAAATTACAGCTCCTTCTTGCAGAAAAGGTTAATTACTCCTAAGTCTGGTTTTGCTCTTGTTTAAATAAACCAGTGGTGCTCAGCCTTTTTTCCCAGTGCGCTAGCGTTGGGATGGGCAAGGTGGGCACCATTTGGCCACACAGAAGGAGGTGAGAGACAGCCCAGTCTCAACCCAGCCCCTCAGGAGAAGGGAATATGGCCTGGCCACACAGTGGAAAGGGAGCATGGCTTGACACTGCAGTGGGGAAGGGGTCATGGCCTGGCCTCAACTCAGCCCTGCACAGGGGAGGGGGCATGGCTTGGCCCACAGGGGAAAGAGGACATGGCACAACCCTGTTGGGGGAAGGGGGAATAGCCCTGCAGTGCAGGGCTTAGGGTTTGGGAATTTGGTTGGGGGAGGGTGGCTGTATTAAAATGGCTGCCCCTTCCCTGCTGCCAAATTTCGTGTCATGTGGGGAGTCCTGTGGACAAGATGGCATGGCTTCATGGGCTGCATTTGGGCCACAGGGCCGGAGGTTGAGCACCCCTGAATTAAAGCATGTTGCTTTGGTTTGCTTTTCTTTTACCATTCAGAATCTGCAGTATGTCTTTATGGAGATGGTTTAATTAGGGAGGATTCTGCTTTGAGCAGAGGTCTAGACTAGATGACTTCATGAGGTCCCTTCTAGCCCTGCTTTCCTATGATCTTAGAGTATAGATATGATAGACTAAGGCTCATATCACCTTTTCTGGCTTTCTGTAGGTTGTATCCTTTTAGGGCAAGTTGTGGATCACATAGATTCTCTTATGGAAGAGTGGTTTCCTGGCTTGCTGGACATAGATATATGTGGTGAAGGGGAAACACTGTTGAAGAAATGGGCTTTGTACAGCTTTGAGGATGGTGAAGAGCACCAAAAAATACTACTCGATGATTTACTTAACAAAGCTGAAGAAGGTAATGTTTTATTTAAGCTATTTTGAGGTACCTGTATGAAGATGTATGCGTAATATCCACTGTCATAGCATTTAGGAATTTCATATTATTTACAAGAATGTAACTAAAATAAGCAATGCTGTTTTCACAGTATGGTGCAGTAGCCAGTACTTGTTTAGTTCTAGTGGCTTCTGTACACTGAGACCAGATCAGGTTGCAGATAATGATGTGTACTCTGGGGTTCAGGCATAGCGAGCTCCTGCAGTGTGCCAGAATGCTGACCTCTGGGGAGCCAGAGCAGGGGCAGAGTCTTACCTTCCCCATTGCTCTCTCCACTCTGACAGCTGTAGCAGAATAAGCATAAGCTGCTACAGCTAAGAAGCAGGCTTAGCAGGGGAAACCAGAATGCCCCCTTTCCTCTCTGGGAGACTTTGCTATGGCACATACATCCCTGCACCTCCCAGCTGTTACCAGATTTGCCCATCACTTTGGGTGCGCTCATTTATTAGGGATATGTTTCTAGGGTCTTTGTAATTCTGTCGATGTGCTGCTTGTGTACTGGTGTTTCTATACGGAGCTGTATATCTCCCTTCTACAAGTCCTTACCCCTAATGGAGCTATCTTGCAGGACTCAGTTTCAGTGGGGCTGGGTTCCTCCTGTGCAGTCAGACACAAGCACACAGGTGAGCAGAATACCTCTGAATGAGGCTGGGTGTCCAGCTGACACCTTCATGGGCCAACATTCAGTTCATAAGGGTACGTCTGAGCCAAACTAAATCAATTGGCCTGTGCTGATCCCCTTATGTGTTTTAAACTCGGCATGTCCCAATCTTTTGCCCTAACTGTCCTAGTAGTGGTAGCCTCTTGATGAGCAGACCCCACAGTATTTCTGGGCTTCACAGGGATCTTTAGCTTAGGTAAAAGAAGGATTGCTGCAGAGCAAGTGGGGAAGGAAAAGTAGAGAAGGAAAATTATACCCAGTTACTACCAGTTTGACTATAAAAGTTATTTATTGCTGAGTATATGAAATGTATAATGGTACTAGTAATAATAGACATGCGAAGGAAAACAATCAAAACAATTACAGTACTGCCTTGGTGTCACTTAAGTATTTGGGGAAATTTAGCTCAAGCTTAACTAATACAGTTCAGGTTCAGAAATCTATGCCTAGAGAGAAAAGAGAAAGAAAAGAGCAAGAGCTGGGGTCTCACCAGTCCAAAGCACTCAGGTTGAAATGCTGACAGGTAAAGATCTTAGCACATTCCTTGAAGGAAGATGATCTGTTTCTTCCAGCTTCTCAAGAACAACAGCAGATGATGTCAGAGAGATTTTTTTTTCTCTTGAAGCACACCATTTACTGCTTTTATAGCTTTTTATACCCTCAGTTTAGCTTCTTCAGAGCATTCTTTTAATTGTGTAAGTAATTGTCTTTTCCATTAATAAGGGGTTATCTGCTTTGGAACATCTCAAGAAACTGATTAACAACCAGGAAAA